TCATAGGGTACCTCTTAGCCAATAGCGATGGCAGATTTAAATTGAAACGTAGTGCAGAGTTTTTACCTGAAGAGGGCGCAGCAATGACAGTTTTAGGCAGAATATTTAAATTTAAACTAAGATGCTCTAAAGTGACAAATTACTGACTGCACGTGTCTACAGCACGATTAGACACTCGTGTAAGAGCAAAACACGGGTTTGATTTAGGGTGAATTGCTCTTTACGTTCTGCAAAAGTAGGTTGATTCATTTATCAGTTGTGTTGAAACATGTAGGATGGTGGTCCTTCACTGCTGCTGATATCCAAACGACTTCAGTCTCTGTCTCCATTCTGATAGAAGACGTCTTCGTCACTCAGAAACCTGCAGGTGTGTTTGGTCCACCAGAGGAAGGAAAACCAGACGATCCCCATGAGAAAATCCTGCAGAGCTGAGTCAAATCTACGGATGAAATTATTGAGAGGGAGACCAAAGTGTGTGTGTGTGTGTGGGGGGGGGGGGGGGGTCTGCATTGCAGCGAAGGTCGGACTGTTGTCTGGTAACTGTCTGCAGACACCTCATATGCTCCAGTCCAGACAGAAACAAACATATCTTGTCCTAGACTTAAAAAAAGTATAAAATTAAAACAAGAAATTAGATTTTTTTAAATAATCAGGAAAGGATGAGGGAAAGGGAGAAGAAGGCGTCTGAATGACAAATGAGTCGCTGAGAAGAAGGAGACGTTACATAATGTTTCAGCAGCTTCCTGTCTGCTGTCTGCGTCGCCGCCTGCTGGTCACTATCAGGTACTACAGCTGGGAATATTCTCATAAGGTTTAGGAGCCCGTCTGCAGATCCGGGAGGGGGTGCAGGAGCGGGGGTGCAGGAGGACGGAGATCAAAGGAGGTGCAGGAGAGGAGCAGAGCTTCCAGAGTCCTCCAGGCTACACGATGTAAAACTCAGCGTGTTTCATTTTCAGTGAAAACAGCAGCTGCTGGTTTTCCTCACACAGAAATCCAAGATTTTTCTGAAACAGATACTTAGCAAATGTATTTTCTCATTTTATTCATTTTTAAGGTCCACAGAACTAAACAGCTCCAGAGTATGGTCACACCTCCTCCGTGCTTCAGGCTAAAATCATCTCATGGTTTGTTTATGAAACGTGAATTTGTTCCACCAGTTGATTTGTTGAAATGGTAAATGTTTACTTAAAGCGTGGAAAGGGAATCCACATCCCAGTCTTGGACTTTGATCCAAGATGAAGTGAGATCAGCCTGTCAGCTTTTCTCACCTGTTGGATTAAACTCACCTGAGACCCTCTCACGCGCTTAATCTGCTGCAGTTTCTTATCTGGTTCCTGAATGGTCGTTCAGATCAAAGTGCGGCTGGATGAGCCTGATTGGCTAAAAGTCAGGCGCAGATCAGCTGGATTTCTTATTTATTAAGAGGATTTAAACAGCTTTTAAAACTGTGTAAATATTTACTAGAACAATTCGGATTATTTAAAAAAAACACCCAGTTTTTGTTCTGTATTTAGAGCCAAAAAAAACCTGAGTTTTCATCTTGTTTAGATGTTTGCAGATGTCTGTTGGGCACAAAACCCGCTTTGATGTGCTCGACCTCAGAGTGGCCAATCAAAACCGCATAAACACGTCGGTTTCACCGGAAATGACGTAGTTAATATTCTAACTTTTATCTAAATTCCAAATGAAAAAGTTTGTGTTTGATATTTTTCTGGAATTTGGCGTCACCTGCAGACCAGACTTTAACCGAAAGTAATTTAAATCCATAACAGTTTGAAATGAAACTAAATCCGGTTTAATCGTTTATTAAATAGAAAGTCAGAATTTTTTAATAAGGTTTAAAAAATTAGACATTTAGTTTTATCATAAATAGGCAATAATGTTATTTGAAATTTGGGGCTAGATGATGCTGGTTCAAAGAAAGAATATTAAATGAAACAATTTCACCAAAGTTAGTCTTTTTTTAATGTTTTTCTCTTATTATTTCCACATAATATGTTAAAATGTATTTGTATAACAATATTTTCCCATCAGGTCTCATCATCATGTTTGTTTTATTGTCTCTACTGCTATTGTCTTTATTATTATTATTATTATTATTATTATTATTATTATTATTATTATTATTATTATTATTATTATTATCATCATCATCATCATCATCATCATTATGATGATGATAATGATGATGATGATAATGAAAATATTTTCCCATCAGGTCTTTTCAGCTTTTCACCATCTCACCTATGCAGCCATTAAATATACCGAACTCCTGCAAATCTTCATCCGAAGCTAAAAACGAAATAATGTAGTTTGTTTGTTTGTTTTATAAAAAATAAACTTTCAAGTAAAAATAATGGATTTGGATTTGTAATGTTTTTTTAGGGTTTCTTGTAACAGGAAATATCTGATTTGTTAGAAGAAAACAAGAAAATACATAGAAAAACATTGTTTTCTGGTGGTTTGGTGTGACGTTCACCACCAGAGTGTGTGAATGGGTGAATGACTGATTGTGTTGTAAAGCGCCTTGGGGCTTCCAGGACTCTATAAAAGGTGCTACATCAAATACAGACCACTTACCAAGCTACATTAAAGAGATAAAACTTTTTTTAGACTTTGACAAACTCTGCTGAAAATATGATTTAAACATCTTTATGAGAAGTGAGTTCACACCTGTTATTAAACATCAGAGGGTGTTCCCATGTGGCTCCAGAATAAACATCATAGCTGATTGGTCTTTTGTCTTATAAAGTGTAATAATATAAAATAAATTTTCAAGTATTAAGTTGATTTTCTGAATCATCATCAGATTAAAAACAACAACAAACAAAAGAAAATAATTTAAAAAACTTTAACATTCATGTTTCTAAAATGACTTCAAAGAGTTTCGTGTAAAATCTTGATGAAAAGCTCCTTTCAACCATTAAAGTCAAACAAAAGCCAAAATTTCACTTGAAATCATCAAAAGGTCAGAGGTCAGATCAATGGACCAATCAGGCTCATCAACACTCGGAACCCTTCAGCTGTTTGATCTGGGCTTCAAAGTTCTGTTTAAAACCCGGATGGATCAGAGCCCAGCGGTTGATGATGGACGGAATCCGAGTTTCGGACTTCAGCATCGAGCGCATCCTCTCCTCGCAGTTCGGCCGGTGCCGGTGCCCGGTGCCGGTACCGGAGCCCGAACCGTTCCTCAGGATCCCCGACCGGCTGGATCTGGAGTTAGCCAGTATTACCCCCCCCGCGCTGTTCCCGGATCCCGCCCCGGTACCGGGATGCCTGTTGTACCAAGAGATGCAATTTGGAGACGCGTGTTGTCCGTGCGCATGCGCGTCCCATCGCGCAGCGCTCAGCAGGTCCTACCGGAGCCACGGAATTTACTTTATTCAGAATCCTGCAGGTGAGTCGGAATTTCTAGGATAAGAACCGGACCAGAAGGTGAAACAGCTTCTGGTCCGGTTCTGATGGATCGTTTGTCTCTTCAGAACCAGGTGTTCAGCAGCTGGGGGGTCACAGAGGTCAGCAGCAGGTCCGATCCTGTCAGAAGACCCGGATGAGGACGGTGTTCACCGCCGGTCAGACCCAACAGCTGGAGGCGCTGTTCAACATCACCGACTACCCGAACCTGCAGGCTCGGGCCGAACTGGCTCGAGGAACCGGGCTTAGTGAGGACACCGTCAGGGTGAGTCACGTGATTATTCACGCAGCTGATCGACGGAAGCTTGTAGTTTTTAAGGTTCTCCTTCTCAGCAGCTGGACTTTACCTGTAAGGATTTAAAGTGAACTGGATAAGGAACCCAAACTAGAACCTGGGAAATGCTTCATCATTCAGCCCTTTGATGGGATTCGAACCCGCAACCTTTAACCTGAACATCAGCAGAACCTCTGGTTGTGGTCTCAACTTTGGCTCATCCCTTTAGTTAGGAGCCTTTTACCTGAAGGATTCTGAGTTCTGGTCAGGAAGCTGTGTGTGTGTGTGTGTGTGTGTGTGTGTGTGTGTGTGTGTGTGTGTGTGTGTGTGTGTGTGTGTGTGTGTGTGTGTGTGTGTGTGTGTGTGTGTGTGAGTGCGTGCGTGCGTGTGTGTGTGTGTGTCAGACATGGTCCCAGAAGACAGAAACTCTAGCTTCTCGTCTTGTTTCCAGGTTTGGTTTAAGAACCACAGAGCCAGGAGGAAGAGGCAGCGCCGGGGTTCAAAGGTCAGATCACCTGGTCCATCGGCACTGCTTCGTGTAAGAATCTCACCACCTGATTCGTCCAAACTGGGGATCAGACCATCGGACGATCCAAATCTGGCTCAGCAGCACTTCAGCAGCCCAGCTTGAGATCTGCAGATGAAAGGCGCTGATGACCTCCTGTGACCCCGGGGTCGGCCATCTTTACAGACACTTCGAACTTTTCTTGTTTTCCGTCATGTTTTCCTCTTTAACTTATTTAAAATTCTCAAGACTTTAAACTCGACTTTTTGTCTTCATTTCTAGAAATAAACAGTTAAATAGAGTTAGTGATGTTTTATTTTCTAATTCCTGCTGTTTACTACGTGTTTACGACTTTAAAATCACTTCTTTATGTAGCAAATTTTGTTTTAAATCATGGTTGCTTTTCAAATTAAAAATATACAATTTTTAAAATAAAAACTACTTTTACTTTTCAAAAGTTTCGATTCGTTTGCTGAATCGTTTTTTTACAGAAATTATTTTTCTGACCTCACGTTGAATTACATGGAGATGAAATGACGTGACAACTTTACATGTCTGAAAAATAAACGATGTAGTCAAATCTATCAGACTGATTTCTCCTCAGGTATCTTTTAAAGGTACATTATGGAAGTCTGACAGCCAAAACATGTATAGAAATAATAAATGTCTTCTTCATACATTCTCCTGCAATGCCCTGGTCCTGTAGAATGAGCCCTGGCATTTTTACTGTGATTGCCTGTTTTTCTGTAAAACCACAGAAAAAGAGAGATGCTCGGGTCGAGCAGGCTGCTTCATGCGCGTTCACGCTCAGGCATCGCCCGTAGCATTTGCTATCCGTAGCTTTAGCAGCAGAGAGAGAGGCAGTGCCACTTTGTCGCTGTTCCTAACGCCTAGTGACAAAGCTAGCTACATTTCTGAGGACCCTTAGTTACTTTCTGTAGAACTTTCTTCTTGATATTTCCTGCTAATTAGCAACAAAATAGCCATTTTCACTCCGAACCGTTCTTTGAACGTTGTTTCAGCTGTCATCAAGGATATAAATGTTACAGATACTGTGAATGTGTAGCTCACCCTGTGAGACCTCTGACTCTCGTGCAGAAGACCTGGGTTTGATTCTGGATGTGAACATAGTTTATTTAGAGTTTATTTTTTACATTAATGGTATATTTTTTACAGTAAGATGCCCAAATTTTTATTTGAGACTCGCTGAACGGCATTGAATTCACAGATGAAAAAGATGTGGGTTCAACTTTCATTTTGGAACAATTTTTCAAGCAAGGGAAGAGAATGATCTGAGCATGCAGGAGGACTGACCCATCATCAACCTTTGTCGGCTGTGCTGAAGAGAAAGCTACAGAACCACATTATTTAATTAATTAGCTGCACGTTCTCCTGTCCTCTGTCCTCCGGGCCACGCACACACACACACACACACACACACGGGACTGACGGTCTCAGCTGTTATTTTTGTTAAGGAGTGTGCACGTACAGCATGTGCGCCTCGTGCACGAGCCTACTATTGAAGCTGCAATTACTCTTTTGGCCTGAGGGGGCAATCGCGAGCATAAAAATTCAAAAGTCTGTAAAGTACCTTTAAGTATAAATGAACATTTTATAAGGTTAATCAAAATTCTTCTCAGAACATCAACTGTAGTTTTAACATTTTATTTCATGGAACCAGAACGTTTTAATGTAAGAGAGTCTGTGGCTCCCGGGAGTCCACATCTGATGGACCTGCCTGCTGATGGGGCTGCTGGAAAGGGACCGATGCTGGAGGGGGGTCTGTCCCCTGCAACCAGGACTGGGAGGCTGCTACAGACTGGTTGGACGTGATAGTGGAGACAAGAGACGTAACGGACTGCATCATCATCCCAAACAGTCTCTCCTCGTGTTCATGCTGGGCCTTCTGCATCTTCAGCAGAATCTCTTCATTCCTGGAGCTGCTCAAAGAACTGGAGATGGCCTCCAGCATGCTCTCCAGTCGGCTCCTGCTGTGAATGGTTTGTGTGCCACAAGAGGAAAATGGCTGCTTCCTGGAGGAGGTGGGGGACTGTGTTGATGACATTGATGTCTCTGAAGAGGCTGAGGGTGAACGGGCTTCTGGATGACCTGCAAACAAACGGAAGACAGGATGTTAAACTTCTAGTTAATGCAGCACACACGCACACACACACACACACACACACACACACACACACACACACACACACACACACACACACACACACACACACACACACCTGCTTTAACCAGAAGTCACTGACTGATGAGCTGAATTCCCTGGATCCAGATACAGGCTGTGTTCGGTTCGTACCTTCACAGAGGTTCCGTTCGTCGGGCTCCAGAACCTTCACAATAACGGTAGAATTCAGAGCCTCCTCGTCCTCCTCGGTGGACTCCTGCTTTAGGTCCATGACGCACTCGTCACCGCAATGGAAGGACGGCTTGTCCCCCAGGACCCGGTCCAGCTCTTCATAACACACACAGCTGGTTCGGTCTCGGTTCGATTGGCTTTTCTTTGCTCTTCTGTACAGACTTTTGAGTTGTTTGATCTTCCGCTGACACTGGCGCCACGAGCGGCTGAAGCTTCGGTCTCCCATTTTACCAGCGATCTCCTCAAACACCGACCGGTTCCGGTAGGATCCCATCAGTTTGCGCTGAACCGAACTTTCGGCCCATATGGAGATCAAGCACTGAGTCTCATCCCTGTTCCATCCACGAAAATCCATCCTGATCTCTTTGTTTTCCTTTTTTTTCTTTCGGGTAACGGTCTCACGTTGATGATGTCATTTCCTGCTGTTGTCAGTCGCTTTAGCGGTTTGTAGCCACTACCGCCCTCTGCTGGTCAGAAGTTTGAACAGACGCTTTGTCCAAAGCGACTTAAAACGAAGCCAACATTTATTTGTTTGTTTATTTATTTATTTATTTATTTATTTATTTATTTATTTATTTATTTTTGTATATTTGTATTATATTTATATTATATTATTATTATTATTATTAATGTTAAATGTTTAGAGCTAAGGCAAAGATTTAATTAGTGAGTAAATAGCTTTAACACAAACAGAAAAATCTAGACACATTTTAAAAGAGACGCTTCTTTTATGTAACACTAACAATTCACCACAAGAGAGCGACAAGTGTACAAGAGTATTAAAAATCAAAACATTACGATTTTAACAACACCAGTGTCTTAAATATGATTGCTCCATAATGCTAGAAACACATTAAATATTCACATTTTCAGATTAAAAAAAACTTGTTTTTGTCAAACAAATAATATCGGCAGGTGGAGTCAGAGTTAAAAGTAGTCTGTTGTTTATACTTCTTCGTGCTCAAAATTGTTTGTACCCTTTGGTCAAGAAGATAAAACCTACAATGGTCACAGAGAAAACGGACAAAAGTAATAATAATTAAAATTTCTATGAAATTTAACCAATGAAAGGCAGACATTGCTTTTTAACAATGCTTCAACAGAATTATTTAAAAAAAAACAACTTGTGGAAAAGGCCTGGACAAAAATGATAACCCTAGAAAACACTGAAGATGATGGTAAATGGCCTGTATTTGATATAGCATCTTCTAGAGTCCTGGAACCCCCCAAGGCGCTTTACAACACAATCAGTCATTCAACCAGTCACACACTGGTGGTGATGATGAGCTACGATGTAGCCACAGCCGCCCTGGAGCACACTGACAGAGGCGAGGCTGCCAGCAGGCAAGGTGGGTTAAGTGTCTTGCCCAAGGACACAACGACAGCGACAGACTGAGTGGGGCCCGAACCTGCAACCTTCCGATTACGGGGCGAGCGCTTAACTCCTGTGCCACCGTCGCCACAGATGTGACCAAAGGGACGTGTTAATTCAAGGTGTGTCCACTAATTAGCATCACAGGTGTCTACAGTCATGTAATCAGTCAGTGGGCCTCATGTAGGGCTCCAGGTAGTCACTGTGTTGTTTGGTGGCATGGTGTGTACCACACTCAGCATGGACCAGAGGAAGCGAAGGAAAGAGTTGTCTCAGGAGATTAGGAAGAAATGTACAGACAAGCATGTTAAAGGTTAAGGCTCTAAGACCATCTCCAAGCAGCTAGATGTTCCTGTGACTACAGCTGCACATGTTCTTCAGAGATTTAAGATCCACGGGACTGTAGCCAATCTCCCTGGAAGTGGCAGCAGGAGGAAAAATTAATGACAAATCAAAGAGATGGATAATCCCAATGGTACCTGTTACGACCCAGGCATCCATAGGGGACCTGGGGTAACATAGAGGACGTGTGACACAGGAAAAACAATATTTAAAAAAAAAAGGATTTATTTAACAAAAGGGCTTCTGATGTCAGACTTTCACTCAAACAAAACTCTAACTAATTACCACAAGCAGCTGAAACGGCTGTCAAATGATCACAGTTACAAACAAGTTGTCTCCACTCCAATGACACCACTGTGTCCTAACAGAGACCAAACACTGAACTCTGTGGGATTCCTCGGCAAACACAAGAGGTTTAACGCAGGATCCCTCCTATAATAGGTGACTCCTCCTCTTCAGACATTTCTAAACTACACATGCAACTGAAGACACTAAACGCGTATCGGCTGCATGGATGTAAAATACGCGTCGAGGAGACAACAGGCCGGGGACGGACATCTCGGGTCTGCTGCTCGCTGAGGAAGAGCTCCAGGAGCCTTTTAAGCTGTTTGTCCTCCTTCGGCTGGGTGCTTCAGGGCCGAGCCAGGTAGTGCAGGAGGAGACGGGTGCTGCGGAGTAGCTCCTCTCAGCACACAAGGATGAAAACAGAGGAGGTGGAAGAGAAACATACAAAAAAAGAAGCACAAAAACACAAACAGCTGTGGCGTGACAGAAGAGCCCAGAAATTCCTCTGAAGAAATCCAAGGTGAACTTCAAGCAACACCAGTGTCAGATCGCACCATTCATCCTTGTTTGATCCATAGTGGACTACATGGGGCGACAGTGGCACAGGAGTTCAGTGGTCGCCCTGTAATCGAAAGGTTGCAGGTTCGAGCCCCGCTCATCTGTCGCTGTCGTTGTGTCCTTGGGCAAGACACTTAACCCACGTTGCCTGCTGGTGGTGGTCGGAGGGACCGGTGGCGCCAGTGCTCGGCAGCCTCGCCTCTGTCAGTGCGCCCCAGGGCAGCTGTGGCTACATCGTAGCTCATCCTCACCAGTGTATGAATGTGTGTGTGAATGGGTGAATGACTGGTTGTGTTGTAAAGCGCCTTGGGGGGTTCCAGGACTCTAGATGGCGCTATATCAAATACAGGCCATTTACCATTTACCATCTAGTTCAACCTCGAGCTCGCCTTACCACCATGGGGAGCAGAGCTTCCAGTTGCTCTGCTCCCCGGCTCTGGAACTCACTTCACTCTGTGTTGGTCATTATTATTATTTTTTTTTTTTGACTTATTTTAGCTGTTTTTGTGTGTTTCAATGCTGTTTTTATCTAGTTTTTATTCTTATTATTGGGCTGTTTTAATCTTATGTCTCCTGTGTTTTATTTATTTCTCTTTGCTGCTTTCGGTTTATTCTATTGTTTTAATGTATTTTCTGTACAGCACTTTGTTCCAGTGCTGGGTGTTTTAAAGTGCTTTATAAACAAATGAACTGAACTGAATGAACTAAATTTATTTTAAAAGCCTAGTAAACATTTTCAGTCATTTTTTTTCACAACACTTTGCACGCGTACATCAGACAATCGGTTTTGTATTTTGGTACTTTGGTAAAGATTTTAGTCAATTCATCAGACAGAAGCTGTGGAAAAACATCAAATTCTTTATTATATTCATAGAGTTCATCACTGTTAGTGTCAGGAGCATTTTCATGCTGATGAGAATAAGATACACATCCAAATCAGAAATACTGAGAGAGGAGGATACAGACGGAGAGCATGCAGGGGTATCTGTTGGGAAGAGGAAGCTCCTCCTGGTTCTGCTTCAGCGTTCCGTCAGGTTTAAAACGCACGATTCAAACAGGACACACACACACACACACACACTTAAAAAAAGTACACTTAGTGATTTATCAAAATATAGGCTTTCCATGAGACTTCAGACGTGTTGAAGAGAAATGATAATGAGTTGGTTTAAATGGGAATGACTCCAGAACAGAACCAGAATCCCGTGGTTCTGCCTGCTGGCTACTAAACACGCTTCCTTCCCACTGATTGGATTTTTATTCATGTTCTTATTTTCAGGCAGATGATTATGTTTTCAGATGCATCATCAGAATTCATCTTTTCCTTATAAAAGCATCTGGATGGAACCAGCTTTCTCGGACCTTTTCTAACGTTAAAAACTGGGTTAAATGTTTTTTTTTTCACTCTTTAAAATGTTTCTCCTGCTGCTAAAGCATCGGCGCTGCTGATCTCGACCTGCTGCAGGTGATGCGTTTCCACCAGGGGGAGAGCTAGATGCCCTTAGCCTGTGTGTCAGTAACTTCTTAACATCTGGTGAGATTTAACTCCTAAACCAGCAGTAATTTTTTTTTAAATCCACAAATTAGCAGCAAGGTGAAATTAGGTGTCAACATATAAATAGTGTATTATTATTATTGTTTTTTTAAATGAGAACATTTGAAATAAAGAAGTAAATCTGCCTCTAATAAAACCCTGACACCAGAAACACTTTAGGTGAATAAAAGTTTTGGACTTTGACGACATTCTTAACGGGACTTTTCGGACTTTTGAATTTTTATGCTCGTGATTGCCCCCTCAGGCCAAAAGCGTAATGGCGGCTTCAATAGTAGGCTCGTGCACGAGGCGTGCATGCTGTACGTGCACACTCCTTAACGAAAATAACAGCTGAGACAGTCCCTTGTGTGTGTGTGTGTGTGTGTGTGTGTGTGTGTGTGTGTGTGTGTGTGTGTGTGTGTGTGTGTGTGTGTGTGTGGCCCGGAGGACAGAGGACAGAACGTGCAGCTAATTAATTAAATAATGTGGTTCTGTACCTTTCTCTTCAGCACAGCCGACAAAGGTTTATGATGGGTCAGTCCTCCTGCATGCTCAGATCATTCCCTTCCCTTGCTTGAAAAATTGTTCCAAAATGAAAGTTGAACCCACATCTTTTTTATCTGTGAATTCAATGCTGTTCAGCGAGTCTCAAATAAAAATTTGGGCATCTTACTGTAAAAATATACCATTAATGTAAAAAAGAAACTCTAAATAAACTATGTTCACATCCAGAATTGAAGCCGGGTCCTCAGTATGAGTGTCAGCCATCTTACTAGGTGAGCTATAGCGCCAGTAGCATTTGATGTATCTGTAACGTTTATATCCTTGATGACAGCTGAAACAACGTCAAACCAAAGAACGGTTCGGAGTGAAAATGGCTATTTTGTTGCTAATTAGCAGGAAATATCTAGAAGAAAGTTCTACAGAAAGTAGCTAAGGGTCCTCAGAAATGTAGCTAGCTTTGTCACTAGGCGTTAGGAACAGCGACAAAGTGGCACTGCCTCTCTCTCTGCTGCTAAAGCTACGGATAGCAAATGCTACGGGCGATGCCTGAGCGTGAACGCGCATGAAGCAGCCTGCTCGACCCGAGCATCTCTCTTTTTCTGTGATTTTACAGAAAAACAGGCAATCACAGTAAAAATGCCAGGGCTCATTCTACAGGACCAGGGCATTGCAGGAGAATGTATGAAGAAGACATTTATTATTTCTATACATGTTTTGGCTGTCAAACTTCACTTAAACCTATTTATGAATAATTTATCTCTTTTTTTCTGAAGATATGCAACGCCTCTTAAAAGTAATGCCATTTTCTGGTGTGTGATTATGTTTGTTTGAGTTTTAAAATCTAAAGTTGGGCATAAACACGGAGATAAAAGACTAATGACACCTAAAGCAACATTTTAATCCTAATGTTTGTTTTGTGGCTCTAAACTAGCTGCTTACATTTACCAGAAGAAAAAGAAAAATATGTAAGTTACCGACGCCTGAACTAAACACAGAAACATATCTGGAACCAACAGAATGGTAATAGTCACAGAACTAAAACCAGTAAAGACAGCATGGGTGTTTCCTAAAAGCAGCCAATCAGATGGATGAAGGCATATTTTGTCTAAAGTGAGGTTATAGTGACACCTAGTGGCCAGTCCAGAGATAACTCCACACCTCACTGCACCGTAACGTTTACTGTACGAAGACGAACTTCCAGCATGACTGTGGTCCACAAACATTAAAGTCCAGTTATGAAGGAGTCAGCTGATCTGAAGCTTTAGCATCACACGGCAGCGTGGAACTACAGCTGTAACCATAGCAGCACGCTAACGGTGAGAAAACCACAGCATGAGGCTTCACTTCAGGTGTTCTGACTCTGGGAAGGTAAAACAGAGAGTCGTCTGCATTTTATCACATCCCACTTCTGGTTTCTTCCTTTAAACCAGAAACACGTCATGAAATGAAGCTGGAATCTAATTTCTTTAGACCAACGTGGTAAAACCAGCTCTAATTCATGTTATACATTAAATGTTGAAGGTAGCTGCGTGTTCACTCAGAATCGATCAATGATGCTGATATTTGATCCAGAACCTTTTCAGGGAAGAAAAGGGTTTGAATTAAGTTTTTTAAATTATGAAATGAGATCCAGATAAACCCAAATCATTCAACATTCACACCTAAAGATTTTCATCCTGAATTCTGCTGCATATTTATGAAAATTCACCGACTCAACACGACTGCGCAGCAGCAGCATGTTTTTATGACTCGATGATGCAGAAAACGACGGGAAGATCATTCAGGAGACATTTCAGGGTGTAAGTGAAGCTAAAATAAATCGTTTTTATGAGCCTCTGCAGAGTTAAGAAACGGTTCTGACCTCAGCCAGAATCTGAACAGCTCAGGAAGTGTGATTCCTTTTTCAACTCCATCCTAAAGACTGGATCCAAACATCGGTGAGCTGCTGCAGGACAGCGCTGCAGGTTTAAACTGTTCAGATGGGTTTTCGTGCTGCGGTGGAAGAATTCATTGGTGAAACACCTACAGTGGTTTTTAGGTGGACCATTAAGCACACATGAAGGTTAACTCGTGCTTTTGTTTTTTCATTTTGCAGATTCACAAACGGTGCCGACGCTTTACACAAACCGATATGTGGCGAGAGAAGGGAAGGACGAGGAGGACGAAGGTTTTAGAGGTGAAAAAAAAACTTAAAACGACAAAACAAAAATTATCAAGTTATCATTGTTATTCACCTTCTAACTGATCAGACATCAGTTTAGGTATAACTATTTAGAATATAAAGAGCAAGTCACCCCCAAATCAACTTTATCTTTCCTGATAAACTATATAAATGCGTGTCTAATCGTGCTGCCGACACGCGTCAATAGTTTTGCATTTTAGTGCATTTTAGTAAAAATTTAAATTTTCTACCTAAAACTGTCAGTGTTGTGCCGTTGTCAGGTAAAAACTCTGCACTGCATTTGAATTTAAATCTGCCATTGCTATTGGCTAAGAGGTACCCTAGAATGTTAGCTGGTACCATATGATGTCACAATATTGTTGTGAACCTGTGTGTGTGTGTGTGTTTGTTAGCGGCTCCGCCCTCTCGGTCTGCTAGGCAACAGCATTTGTTGCATTTTTCAAACAGGAAGTGGGAGTGGAGTAATACTCTGGTAGGGGGTGACTTGCTCTTTAATGAAAAATTCCAGTTCTTTTATAAATTTGGATCAGTCAGCAGTTTTGGTTAACAACAAATTCTGATTGCAGCTAAAACAAACCCTCTAGTTTAACTGGTGTGAGCTACACAAGTAATGTATTTATTCTAAACTACAAGTTTTCATCAAAAAGGACCAAAACTGTGGTTTTCGCAATAAAATATGAAGAAAAAACAGAATCCAGCTGATTTCTGTGATGTTTAAATAAAGTTGGATATTGTCTTTCAGGGCAGGAATCATGTTTCCCACATCCTGGTGAAGCTGACGTCTGTCACTCGCCCATCAGATGATTAACCCTGTTTCAGCTACAGATGCTAAAGGACCGCACAAATGTGATGTCTAAATTCACAGAAATCAAAGTTATGTTCTGAAAGGATGCAGCAGCCAGATCTGGGTCCACCCGCGACACGAAACCGGGTCTGCAGGAGCAGCAGGACACCTGAGCCTGTCTGCTCAGGTGCTGAAGGTCATCTGTTGGACCCAAATCTGTCAGCAGCAGAGAAAGCACGAAGCACAGATGAAACCAAAAGTGTCGGGACTGACTTCAGGGGTTTCTTCTGCGGAGCTGCAGGATGTTTAATCGGATACAAGGCACTATAGATGTTGCTGTAGGATGGCTAAATTAGGAGGAGAAAGACAAGGTTTCACCACAAGGAGCTGGAAAGTCTCAGGAGCTTCAGGGACAGAAGAGTAAATGGTGGAGAAGAAAGTAGAGCAGAGAGATCCATCGGGTGGAGGGATACGGGGAGAAGGGCAGGGCATGGTTAGGACTGCATCTCAGCGCGAAGCATCCAGGGGAACCAGCAGCAGAACAGCAACCTGCAGCAGGCGGTGGGTTACATTTAGACCCTCAGTGGTTCCACTGAGGTTCCTCTCATCACACTGCAGCATCATTAGCAGATAAAGCGTGACCTCACCTGGATATGGAGCTCTCAGAGGTCAGGTCTTTAGGAGACCGCAGCGTGTTGAAGTTCCGCTTCGGTTGTGACACTGAAGAAAAACAAGATGGTTGCATTTTACTGTTAAATCAAACCAAGAAGCTGGACTCATGTTCTGGTAGAGCGTCCCCACGGGTGGAACCAGGATCAGGAGGACTTACTGGAGACCTGGTGGACTTTCTTCATCATGGAGCCCTCGTTCTGTGAGCCTTCTTTAGGTCCTCCGATCCTGATCAACACAACAACACGCTGTCGGCGCTGCTGGACTTCACCACACAAGAATGCTCCGGCTGTTTTCCTGCTCTTACCTCTGGACTCGAGAGGGTGGAGCAAACACTCCATATTTGGGCAGGCAGCTGAAGTACCGGACTCCGAACACCGAGCCGTCGTGCTTTCCGGTGGGCTGATCCAGCTCGATACCGAACCAGAACCCTGCAGCGACACGAACAGACCGGCTCACACCAGGCTGCCGGGTCTCTGACAGTAAAATCCCGTCAGGATTCACCCTGCAGACTCACCCGGAGCGAAGTCCGTCTTTCCGTAGAAACGAACGATGCCGTGTTTCTGACCAGCCACCAGAACCTGATCCCCAACCTCCACATTCGTTCCTTCTGGGTCCAGACTCGCCACGGATGACTTCTTCTTTTGGGCTGAGAGCACAAAACGCACTCAGAGACAAACATCTTCATCAGCTGCGTTTATAAAAGCACACCAGGAGCTAACGCTACCTTTCTCCCTCTCTTTCTCCTTCTTCTCTTTCTCCTTCTTGGTCTTCCCAGTCAGACGGGAGGCCAGATCCATGCGGGGAGTTCTAGGGGTGGAGGTCACCGACGAGGGAGTCTGATCCACTGGTTTAGAAATCTTTGAAACGGGAGCAAAAATACCTGCAGGCCAGAAAAACAACAAACAATGAAACCTCTGTTCCTGTTAGTTGGAGTAAAACCACCCAGATGGAGGCGTTTCAGAGGCGTCTTCAGGTCACCTAGCTTCGGAGGGCAGATGAAGTACCGCACGCCTCCAACGCTGCCGTCATTCTTCCCCTCCGGCTCGTCCAGCTCCACTCCAACCCACTGACCGCTCGCAAACTCCGTGGTTCCACAGAACCTCAGAGTGCCGCTCTGAGGAGGACAGAGAAAGATCAGAGGTCTTTATTGGACACCCACATGGATACCATGAGGGGTCTTCTCCGACCCTCTACAGGCAGAGCATGTCCTCCATCACAGCACGAACAACCACAGGACTCTGCTTCGCACTTAGTGATGCATCTACGTGTGACCTTAGGGACCGAGCTGTTTTATGGTGCAAAAGTGGAAATAGGGAAGAACCTTCATGTCGTCCAGAACCACGCGGTCTCCCAGCTTCAGCCCCAGAGCGGACAGCATCAGGTTTCCTGGGATGTTGTCGTAGTTGGGCAGCGTGGCTCTTGGGAGGTTACAGCTGAGGGGGACGGCGTCCAGCAGCAGCTGCTTCAGGTCTTTGGCCACCATGGCGGCCTCTGCCTTGTCCAGACTCATGTCCATCGGGTCAGGGACCACCTCAGCTGGAACCTGGCCCTTCTCGTTCTGCACAATAAGAAAACAAAGCCTCTGTAGGACAGCCTCCAGGTTATAGAAGGCAGCAGATCTTTAGCTACTCCAGGAGTAAGGAGTGTTTACCCGGACGGCGGGATTGGCTCCGTGCTCCAGAAGACATTTGACGGCACTCAGACAGAGGTTGGACGCCGCGATGTGGAGAGCGGTACCGTAGTGGAAGTCGCTGCACGTGGAGTTTAGCACTGCGGAGAACAAAGAAGATGAAGAAGAGGGTGACCAACTCCTCTGTCATGTGTGGAAGGGTCAGGGTTGGACGTCCCGCAGACCCACCTCTGGGTTTGGCTGCCTTCAGCAGAACCCGAATCAGTTCTGGTACATCAAAGTAGGCGGCGTAGTGCAGAGCGTTCATATTGGTCCACCGACTCCTCAGACTCACGTCAGCACCAAGAGAGATCAGCTGACTGGTGAGTCGCAGCGCTGCCGCCGGGTCACCTGTAAAGCACAACAAGGATTAAACTGGAACCAGAACCAGGACCATGGTACGGATTCTGGAGTCCTGATAGACCCCGAGGCCAGGTTCCTCTGAGTGGATTCATTCATTCGTTTCTACATTTCTATATAAATATAATCTCAAACATTTACATTTATTTCTGAAGACATTCAGAATCTAAATTCTGAAAAGAATGACGTTGAATCGTTGTTTTAGCCTCAGGAGGACGTGCGGTTCGTTTAAAGTTCACTCAGACTTCCCACCCACGAGCCAGAAAAACACCCAGAACTTGTTTGGGCGACGGCGGCACAGGAGGGCTCGCTCCATAATCGGAAGGTTGCAGGTCCGAGCCCCGTTCAGACTGTCACTGTCGTTGTGTCCATGGGCAAGACACTCAACCCACCTTACCTACTGGTGGCGCCTGTGCTTGGCAGACTCGCCTCTGTCAGTGCGCCCCAGGGCAGCTGTGGCTACAGCGTAGCTCATCACCACCAGCGTGTGAATGCGTGCGTGAATGGGTGAATGACTGATTGTGTTGTAAAGCGCCTTGTGTCCAATCCTGGTCCTGGAGGGCCAGTATCCAGCAGGTTTTGTGGTTTTTCTGCTCCAACACACTTGATTAACTGGTTGAATCACCTGTACAGCAGCTCATCAGGCTCTGTAGAAGCCTGTTAATCACCTGCTGATTGAAATCAGGTGTGTTGAAGCAGAATTAAAACTAAAACATGCTGGATACCGGCCCTCGAGGACCAGGATGGGGCACCCCTGCTCTAGAAGGTCAGGCCATTTACCATGTCCAATCTTTCATAATCCTGAATAAAAACAACCAACATGTCCTCACAGAAATCCCCCAAAATATTAATAAACCTAAAAAAAGCAAAAATATCGTAACTAGTTGTCATGGTCTGCGTCTCCCCTCATGTGTCCCCTTGTGTTCTCCATCCCTCTCTAGGTTCTCCTTTTGTGTCTCCTAGCGCCCTCATGTGTCCTTGTCTGCGTCTTCCTCATGTGTCTCCTGGTGTTCTCCATTTTTTCCCCAGATCTTCAGCCCTCTAGGTTTCCCTCCTCAGGTATCCCCCTCCCAGGTCCTGTGCTCCCGTGGCCCCCTTTAGTCACGCCCCTGTAGTTTTTCTTTCTGTAGTGTTTTTCCTTTAGTTTCAGCTCCCCCCCTTAGAATATTGGTTATGTTTGCTGCCCTTCTGGTCTTTAGGTTTTTCTCTGAGGTCATTTTCCTTTAGCTACAGCTGTTCATGTTATTAGTCTCTCTAGTGTATTTTTCCCATCGGTGTTTGTGGTTTTTCTCCCCCCTTAGATTATTAGTTATGTTTCCTGCTCTCCTTGTCTTTAGGTTTTATTCTTAGGTCATGTTAGTTTCCTCCCTGATTAGTAATTAGGTTCACCTGGTCTCTCTCCCCCCACACACCTGCAGCCCATCTCCCTCTCATCCTCCCCAGTGTATAAAACCCTGTCTGTGTCACAGTATTTTGTCGGTTCGTTGTTCTTGTCAGTCTCGTCTCGTTCCTGTTCCTAGCCTCTAGTGTTTCCAGTGCTTCTAGTTCTGTAGTGTTTTTGATTACTCAGTTTAGATATTTGAATTTTTGGTTTTGGCTCCCTGCCTCTTGGACTACTCCTAAATAAAGGATTTTATTTTCATCATCCACCTCCTGCCTCGTTCATCTGGTTATCTCCATCTTGGGTCCTAAACATCCTCCTACACCAACTCGTGACACTAGTCAATTATTTATCTGGTGAAATGAATTAAAATCCCAATTTTAGAATCTAAAACCCAAACCACTGTGTTTGGAGCAGGGTCCTATCAGAGAGGACTTCCTGTAAATTCAATTTACAACCTAAATTAAATTCTGAACACTTTTTGGACGTTGTAGGGATTTTTATGCAGCTGTAGGTGGACGCCAGACCAGAGAAATCGATCTGTGTGTCACCTGAGGTTTTCTCTTTGACTCTCCTGGACTCCTAACGGTTTATCGCTGGATTTGCTCCACGAGGGTTTCTTACCCACTCCGTGCGCTCCGGCCTTACAGCTGTAGTGAAGCAGTGTCATGTCGGTCAAACCGTCGCGGTCGTTCACATGGCAACCGCGCTTCAGGATCTGAGACACAGAAACAGGTAAGGTGCTGATGGTGAAGGGAAGCCTGTTAACAAGCTGCACACGGTCCCATCTGACTGGATTTACACAGGATGACACAGAGGTCAGAGGCACTATTTCTGGTACAAGAACTGTAACAGGGCCAGGTAATGCTTTTATTTTTATAAAGAACAATTTATTTAATTTCAACACTAAAATAAGATAAAATGTCCTAAAAATGAGGCTTTTTTAAAAACTGTCTTGGAAATCCGTTTAGCAGTGAACTGAAGTGTTTTCATCACCTCGTTTCCAATGACGTCAATCTTGTGTTGCACCTGAGGAACCCACTGACGGACGATGGCGAACAGCTCTGGGATGGAAGTCTGGGGATCCATCAGGATCTCCAGACAGGCCGGATCATTTGGGTCAAAGAAGGTGAACGCTGGAAAAAAACAAGGAGGAGTCAGAGAGAAAGGAAATGAGGTGAAGATAAATCAGCAGTGAGAATGCGATCCCTCCAGATGGTTTCTGTCCCCATCATCAAATCAGAGGAGACCAGCGGATCCTGCAGGTTCTGCTCTGCAGGCTCAGCAGCTCAGAGGAGGATTTTCTTTCACTAAGTTGCTGAAATCAAATTTGTACATTTAAATCCTGACAGGTGTCCTTCAACAAGCAGAAAATGGACCAAATGAGCAAAACCAACTGTTTATAGAGTCTGGGCCTCTGGACAAAAGCTCTATTCAGACCCGGTTCTGACAAGCATCCCGGACGGTCACATGACCAGCGACAAGCACAAATGTGTGTGTAGCTGGTCTCAGAAACACTGAGGATGCTTTCAGACCGATCTCATTCAGACGAGTCCTGGGATTCTTCTGCCCAGAGTTCAGACTCGGTCCAACCAGGACTTGGTTCTGTAGAGTCTCTGAGTCATGTGATTCACCAGAATCCCTCCATGAATCAACAACTTCCGTATTTAGCAGAAGTTGAGTTTTTGTTGTTTAAATCTGAAAAAAAAAACCATTTAAAAAGATCTATAAATGCGAGGGAGGAGTCAGATAAAACCTCTTTTCTATTCCTGATATTCAAAATATTTGTTCTCCTAAAATCTCAGACAGATTGATTGTTTTTCTAAACATCCATTAAAATCGTAGAAGAAGACATCAATTCCCTCTCCTAAGGACAAGAGAAACTCTTAGCTGGGGCCAAGGCTCCGCCCCTTCCTGGATTCAAACAGGAAAAAAACATTTTATCCAATTAAAATGAATAAAAATTAAAACTATTTTCTTCATCTGAATGATTAGAATAAACACGTATTTTATTTCTTTTAAAGAGCAAGTCACCCCCAAGTCAACTTTTTTTCTCTGATAAACTATATAAATGTGTGTCTAATCGTGCTGCAGACACGTGTAGTCAATAGTTTTGCACTTTAGTGCATTTTAGTTAAAATAAACATTTTCTGTCTAAAACTGTCAGTGTTGTGCCGTTGTCAGGTAAAAACTCTGCGCTGCATTTGAATTTAAATCTGCCACCGCTATTGGCTAAGAGGTACCCTAGAACGTTAGCTGGTACCATATGATGTCACAATGTCATTGTGAGCGTGTGTGTGTGTATTTGTTAGTGGCTCCGCCCCCTCAGTCTGCTAGGCAACAGCATTTGTTGCATTTTTTAAACGGGAAGTGGGAGTGGAGTAATACTCTGGTAGGGGGTGACTTGCTCTTTAACTGTCTCGGAGTGAGGACTCAAGAGAAAATAAAACTAGTTAAGGTGGCGCAGTGAGTTTGGCTGTATTTAAGGTGGGATGACGTACTGTAGTCCTTCGGTAGCGGCGCCTGGGCTGAGGGGTGCACCATGGCTCTGCGGGGGAGCTCATGGACCGGACTCTGGTACTCGGACACAGAGACCGGTTCTGGAACTGGTTCAGCTGGAGGGTCCTCCTCCTCCACTTCCTGCTCCTCTCGCTCCTCCGGTTCCTCCTCCTGCTCTGCCTCCTCCTCATCCTCCACCTCTGCCCTCTCCTCCTCTAGCTCATATTCATCCTCGTCTTCCTCATCTTCCTCTTCAGTCAGGGCCTCCTCCTCATCCTTTTGGACCCTCCCCTCCTCCTTCTCCTCACGGTCGTGCCCCTCCTTCCCTTGCTCCTGCACGTTCTCCTCTTTTGTCATGACGAGTGACTCTGCGGGCCTGAGGAGAAAATGTAATCATTTGGTGCAAATCCAGAACAAAACAAAAGATAATCTAATTTTAGTCATTTCAAACTTTAAATGGCTGATTTTTACAGAACTAAGCCTGACGAAGGTTTGACCTTTGACCTGCAGCTCAGACACTCCTGAATTAAAGGATCCGGAGACTTTAAAGGCTTGTGGATAAAACTCTGTTGTGTTTATTTATTCTTAAAGGTCTAGCTCTTATTTTATGAAACAGGTTAAAATTGTAACATGAAACCTTGTAAACAGAAGCAGTTTTACTGTGTTTATCTGAATGAGAGGATGTGACGGATCTCGGCGTTGGAGTGAAAACAGCAGCAGCTGATGCTGAGACTTCCTGTCCATCACTTTCTGGATTTGATCTGCTTCCACTCCAGCTAACGGACAAGATGCTGCAGCCTTTCCATCCATCCAGTTGAGTCGCAGTTGCTTTGGTCCATTCATGAAAATAATTTTAAGTTTGATCAGTTTACTCGCAGGAAGGCAACAACTCTTACATTTTAGCTCAGTATCCATCCATCTATTTTTTAATACCCTCTTATCCACGCAGGGTCATGGGGGGCTGGTGCCTGTTTCCAGCAGTCTCTGAGCAAGCAGGCGATTTACCGGTCGATCTATGTTGCTACCCTCATACGGTCACGAACTTTGGTCACGAGTGACCGAAAGAACGAGATTGCATATACAAGTGGCTGAAATGAGTTTTCTCCGCAAATGAGAAGCTTGGTCATCAGGGAGGGGCTCCAAGTAGATCTGCTGCTCCTCTACATTGAGAGGAGCCAACTGAGGTGGCTCGGGCATCTGGTTAGTATGACTCCTCGAAGCCTCCCTGGTGAGGTGGGAGGCGACGCAAAGGAAGACCCAGGACCCGCTGGAGGGACAATGTTTCTCGTCTAGCCAGGGAACACCTTGGGATTCCCCCAGAGGAGCTGGCCCAGAGGGAGGTCTGTAGCCTGGCCAGCCAGCCCCATGCCTCCCGTGCTTGCTTAGTATGAGGATTGCAGTAAAGACTCTGACACTAGTCAGTGACTCAATGCAACCTGCTGGGTTTCTTATATAGGAAACTTTGTACTGATTGGCTTAATGACCTGACCTGTGTTGGAATGTTTACTGTGTGAAGGTCCTCGAGACGACTCTTGTTGTGAGTTGGCGCTTTATAAATAAACTTGAATCAAATTGGGTCTGAGAACGCTCTTATTCAAATAACCCCGCCCCCTTAACCAAGCCAATCAGCGCTGAGCAGCATACATCACACACCGCAACGCTGAGTTTCTCACAAACAATGACGACGGCGTCTGAAGAGGAGTTTGCTGCGGCTCTTTCCTCTTTTCTAAAAGACTTGGACCGATGACTTGGTCTTTGAAACGACGACAACAAGAAGCGCTAAAAGCCATTCTTCTAAACAAAGATGGTTGCGCCGTCGCCAGACGCCATTTTTGACTACAGCTAAAAAACGACAGTGTTGCTCGATATAGTCGGCGTTTCCGCTTTTTTTCATGATTGTTTTGTTTTTTTTAGCTGGTTAGCCCACCCCTCATGTGCCTCTCTGCCTGTGAGAAACACGACTAGTTCTCTGTGTAGAAATAAACTGAGGACAAGACTAGCAGGCTAGGCTAGGAAGTCTGGGCCTCTCTGCTTAGGCTGCTGCCCCCGCGATCCGACCCCGGATTAGCGGATGAGTCAAGTGCTGGACTCTTAATCCAATACACAGAGGTGGAGAAAACAAACAAAACATTGTACAGATGAAAATGGATGGCTGGGTAAATCAATAAACCCATCCTTTGTTTGTTTCTCTAAGCTGATGCTGCTCAGAAGGGCGTCTGCTACAGGTGAGGGCAGACTGAACAGAGTTGGTTCCACACAACAGCACCAGAGTCAGCCGCCTGCATCTGCATGCTAAGCTAAGCTAAGGCTAAGGCTAAGCTAAACTACGTTTCATCCAGTTGCATCTGATAGGAACAGAAACAATTCTGTTGTGACTTCAAATTCCATTTAATTCCACGTTTTAATCTCAAACTCCAGAATACTTTGGAAACGTCTAAAAACACGAGAAAAGAGAAACTAACAAGTCAGATTAGATCACAAATTATGAAATGATTTAATGTATCAAATGTTTGAGTCAATTGTTTTAATCTGAGCTTTTGAAATGCAGATTTAACCGCTGATCTTGCTCCAGAGCCTCAGATAATTTAACATTTTCTGCAAATAAAAGACAGAATGTAAAGGAACTAATTCAGCTTCTGCACAATCAGGAAAACCAGATTAGTAACTAATGTTTTTAATAAATCTGCAGCAATTTGACAGACATATGAAATTAATTATTATTGTGCATTAAATAATAAAGCAAACCTATCTTTACCTACAGGAATAATTAATTATTTGCCTGGATTAACATGAAACAAGGCAACAGAAACACACTTGGGTGCTGGCAGTGCTCAGACTAGCCTTTAGCTCACCGGACATGACGATGACTCTATTTCTCTAAGCTGAGGCTGTTCAGGAAGCTGTCTAGTTAGAACATTTCCTCTTGAATATGCTGAATGATTTATTTTAACTGATCCAGAACTGTTCTCTGATAACTTTCGGGTGTTTCTGAGAGAAAACGACTTCTATCATTAAACAAGAAGGTTCTGGATTCCAGAAAAACAGGAAGAAGATTCCCTGTTTTGGGATTGTTGACAAATACGCAACCAACAATCAACACGAAGAGACCTAATGCAACGTTTTTAATATATTTGAAGAAGTCAGTTTAATAAAACAGAGAAAAACTGATTTTTATCTCTTTTGTTTGTGTCCACATGTTCTTTCAGAGCTTTAAACTCATTTACGTGAATAACGTCTCCGTTTCCGTCCAGGTTGTTATGTTAGACTAAACTAAAATAAATTGTGTTTTTATATCAGAAAGCAGATTGTTGGTGTTGAATCGGAGAGGTATCCGACTGTTTTAGCTGATGAATGAATTAATTTACAGAAAACCAGCAGGTTGTGATGAGGATGGAGCAGCCATGGCCTCCTCCTCCTCCTCCTCCAGCCTCCATTTTACAACCGACAGAAGCGTCGCTCAGACGGACCGAATCGAGCAGGAATCGCGTCTCTAAAATGTTCAGACTCAACCGGAACGGCATTTCTAAGGTTCTAAAGAAGAACGTGAGAACATCGGAAGCCACAGAGCTGGGGGTCGCGATTCGTTTTAATGTGCGTAGGAGAGAGAGAGAGAGAGAGAGAGAGAGAGAGAGAGAGAGAGAGAGAGAGAGAGAGAGAGAGAGAGAGAGAGACGCGCGCAGAACAACAATAATACTGATATTATTAATAAAATGGGTCAATCACGAGCTCTGAATTGATCACAGCAGGTAATGGAGCTGAAGCTGCTCCTTTTGTCTCTATCCTCTTCCTCCTCCTCCATCATCACCATCATCATCGAGCTCCTCTCACAACAGCACCCCGACCCGATCCAAAAAGTGCATCTGAGTCGAACATCTGCGTGTTTACCTGAAACCAAGTCGCTGGTCTCTGATGGACGTGATGAAGCTTTTCTCTCCTCTGATGCTCTACCTCTGAATCAACAACACGGACTCTCCTCTCTCCTCACCCCCGCTGGCTCTCCTCTCCAGCCCCTCCCTCTCTCCCTCACATTTAACCCCTTCCGTTTCACCACGTAACCATTAGTTTATCAGCCAACCCCATGCTTCTTTAGGAAGCGTTTCTCTACGCTTTGTGTGTGTGTGTGTGTGTGTGTGTGTGTGTGTGTGTGTTTAAAGTGTAACATCTGGTGGACATCATTCAGCATCCTCGTGCAAACAAACAGAAGCTTCTGGCTGTTTTGTTAGATTTTTCTCTGCATGCAGGATAAACTTTCTGTGCATTGCTCCTGGGCGGGTCTGGGTGGGGACCTTGGGGCTCGGGGTGTGGGCGTGGCCGGCCTCATGTGGGGATCTGGGCGAGACCTTGTGGGTCGGGCCCAGATGCTGCCAAGAAGAAGGCAAGAACATGCGGCAGTGCCTGGCCCGGGCTCAGGGGCCTCGGGTAGACCTTGGCTCCTCTGCTGTCCCATCACAGGGGAGGGGGTGTCCAGGAGGGGGAGGACCCAACCTTTCCTGGATGTCCTATGTCATATATTCTGGAAGTTGTGCAAATGCAGGGATGAGAGTAGATATTCTGCTGGGATGGGGCTGGGTTGGTGCCCTCAGACTCCGTGAGGCTCTGTGATGCTGCTGCTTTGGGCCCTGGCAGGATGGGCTGGGTGGCATTTTGGCAACAGAGGTGCCTATTGGGGCCAGTGGGGGAGCTGGCTCCCTGGAGGGCTCAAGTCCAACAGGCCATTCCTCCCCATCCCCAAACATTTCTCTCCTCCTGCTCCCTCACATCATCGCACAAACATACACATAGGACCATGGGGGGTGGACAAGTCAGGGGGTGCGGGCATGGACCCCATTTCCGCATTCCTGTGGCAACCAGCCCCCCAATTTTATTTGCACCTTAAACACTTCCACCAGCGACATTCCACGCAAACACACACTTAGGGCCTCGGAAGTGAGCACATTCAACGGCATTTGGCAGGGGGATTTTTCAGCCTCATCCCGAGTGCCGGTGCCCACTTCCAATTTTAAACCGCACTTAGACACTGATGGCTGAGGGTGTAAGTGGGGTGGTGCGGTGGCATCAGCTGGCGTAGGTCAGATGATGCCCGCACTGCCCTCTCACCACAGCCATGGAATACACCTCATCAACATGCACTAACACAAAATTGGATAAATAAAATAAAATAAAATTTGAAAAAAAAAATCCCACACAACAAACTGACTATAAATGAAACATATCTATGAGCAGCTTTTATTCCAGGATACAGTAGTCACATGATCAGAACTGCAGGACCCTGATGTTCTGATTAAAAGATGGAAACTGCGTATCTGACATGAAGAGCAGAGCTGACCTGTCCAAATTATCAGTTTCTATAACGCCCTCTTAGGGTTTTACAACCTCCTAAGGTGCTTCAAAACACAATTAGTCATCCACACATTCACACACTGCTGATGATGAGCTACAATGAAACCACAGCTGCCCTCAGGCGCACTGACAGAGGTAAGGCATGCCATACACTGGAACCACCTGTCCTTCAGACCACCACCAGCAGGCACCAGGTGGGTTAGGTGTCTTGGTTAGAGTTAGGGTTAGATCTAATCTGCAACCTTCAGATTACAGCCTGCTCTACCTCCTGAGTTCTTTCTGTTAAAAGTTGTGACAGCTCAACTTAGGTTGTTATCTGGATGAACAAGAATGTTTCTGGAACGATGTCCCATTAAATAGATGTTTACCCATAATGCATGACAGCACAAACAGCTGATCCCAGCAGTCAGCACGGTGGTGGAGGGCTGATGGTTTGGACTGGTTCCGACCCAACAGGACTCATTAAATCCACCATGAACTCTTCTGGATACCAAAGCCTCTTAGATTCTAATGTGAAACCATCTGTCTGACAGCTGGAGATCATCTCAAACTGGGTCATAAAAGATAATCATGATCCAGAACATGGAAGCAGATCTACAACAGAATCAAGATGTTGGAGAGGTCCAGTCAGTGTCCAGACCCGAACCAGACTTAGGACCTTCAAAGAGCTGAATGTCAGCAACCTTTAAGAAGAATGGAGCAGAACTCCTCCAGAACCATGATGGTGTCAAACAGAAGATGATTCCTGAGTTCCTGAAGGAGGATCTACAAGCTTAGGAGCTTTAGTCTTTGTTCTGATTGTTTTTCTGTATTCAGTCCAACTGTGGAGAACCCACCACAATCACCTGATTGTGATGGTGGTTTCCTTAGGGTTACCAGTCTCAGTCAGATTCAGGCCTCCTGTAATCTCACGTTTCCATGTTAAAATCAGGCCAAAGCTGCAAAGTGATCCTTTAACACAGATGTGACATTCACTAACAAACTGAATCTTTCGTTCGGCTTTTCAGATTAAAAGATGAGAACTGAATCCTTGTAAAAGAACCATTCCGCTTGTCTACTGGTGACGCCCACACCCATACGAATACGTAAACTGCACCACTGGGCGCTGGAGAGAGTAACAGCATTGCCGCCATATTGGATGGGTTCCGCACTTTCCAAACTAAGAGTGGGGAACTATGCCTGTTTTTGGTGCAGCCTACGGTTGCAACCATAAACACAGAGTGGTTGCAACACCTGGCGCACTGTTGAAAACAGACCACGTGGGATTAATATAGACTTTTCTAGCCTTCCTTTTGGGATTTTATATTTTCATTCATTTTGTTTATATTTACATTTTATTTATCATGCCATACCATGCGTCTGACTTAATGAAAAAGCATAATAAAAGGTTTGTTTTAGTAGGTTTATAGTTTCTCCGTAGATATAGTTGCACGGGGGCAAATAATGACCCATCCAAGATGGCGGCTCGCTACCTCACAAACTACCTACAAAGTCCCATTTGACTAGGGCGAATTTGCCACCAACCGTCATGGTGGTTTTGTGTCGCATCCGAAGGTCAGACTCATTTTCACTTCTGATTGGTCTAAATTTACTAAGCACCGCCCTTCTTTTAACCACGTGGACAACTCCGTTTCTGATTGGACAGTGTACTGGTCCGTCAACGCGAGCCAAACCAATCGCAGATCTTTGTCTTTCAGTCTTGCGTCACACGCTCACCGGCTGCTACAATCCAAGATGTCGGCTGTGTTCCCCATGTGTGTCCGAGCGAGTCACGGCCTCCTGAGGCTCAGCAACGGAGCGGTAGGTGCTTCCAGGCTGGCAGCGATGGATATCATCCGGACACTCTCCACAGACGAGCCGTCTGGCGGACCGCGCGGCGCGACGAGCGGACTAGCTCAGGCTATCCTCCAGGAGCGACTCCAGCAGCACCAGAGCCAGGTGAGGTGCGCTCGGTTTTCTGTCCAGCGGCGAAGGCAGTGCAGTTTGTACGTTTAAGTCATGACTCCGCCCTTCCGAGAATCCCCATTATATCAAACCGAAGCTACATCTAGCCACGGACGGCTAAGCGTTACCTGTGCAGGTTTCTCCACGGGAGGGTTTATATTATTGCTCGTTGGTTTTATGTGTTGCTGTAGCTGTGCGTGACCGTAATCGTGGGGTCTGCAGGTAAAATGCTGCGTCCTCTCTCATACTGACTTCAGCCAAGCTTCATTCTGTTAGAAAAATAACAGTCAAGGTGCTTTAGGCTAGAAGGACAGAACAGGACCTTCTTCTCTCCTCTAACTCATGCCAAACATCTCCGGGATGTTAGAGTACCCATCCATCAGTGTTTGAGATCCCATTGCCCTCATAAACGGTGGCTCTGTCAGAAGTTTTATTTATTTTCTGGCTGTATTGTAAAAATACTCACCTGTTCAGGCTTTTATTTTTGTATCATCTGCAAATCTGTGATTTCACCTGGTCAAAGGCGCTAATCCTGGTTGACCCACCAGATTAAGGACAACATTTGTTGAATTAAATCTTTTTGTTTGGTGCTTAATATCATTTTTGGAGGTAACAAGAGGTCCAGCTAACGTGTCTCAGTGCAGCATCACAGCTTTGACTTGTAATCAGACTTCAAGGCAAGGCAGCTTTATTTTTATAGCACATTTCACACACAGAGGCAGTTCAATATGCTTTTCCATTAGCAAGAATAGCAAGAACATTAAAACCAACACGACATGGCATCGGCCGATACCGACATCGATGCCGATATATCACGCATCCCTAATTATGTCACCAAGATTCTAACCTGGGTCTTTATTCCTCCGGAGACAAGTCGATCAATAACCTCCATCCTATCCTTCAGATTTCCAAAGACAAGAACTTCAGTCGTGTCTTTAACTGGAGGAAGTTTGACTGCATCCAGTCATTAACCTGCTCCAAACACTGGCGGTGTGAGTGGAGAGGACCACAGTCACTATGTGATAGAGCTAGGTAGATCTGGGTGTCATCTGCATAACTATGATAGGTAATGTTGTTATTGTATGACCTGGCCCAGGGGGAGCATGTAGAGATTGAAGAGCAGTGGTCCGAGAATTGATCCTTGGGGGGACCCCACGTGTCATGGTGATCTGCTTTGACTTCAAATGAAATATCTATTGTTATTGTTTGTTTTTCCAGGGCCAGCCACCTACAGAAGAAGGTCAGAGCAAGAAGGAAGGAGAGCAAACAGATGACAAGAAACAGAAGGAGAACATGGCCTATGCAAAAAAAATGGTGCTGCGGTTGGCGGGACTCCTAGGCCTTGGCGGAGCGGTCAGCGTTGTCTACATCTTTGGTGAGTAGGGCTGAACGATTTTTCGTTTTTGGACCGAAATCGTGATTTCAAACAGCACGATCACTAGGGATGCACCGATACAATACTGGTATCGGTATCGGTAAAAGTTAACCGATACCAGTAAATGATACCAATGCAGTTGCTTGACTTGACTTGACTTCACTTTAACTTGTCATTTCTGTTCACCTAATATTTTAGTTTTGTAATCACTTATATTACTTTTTATCTACCTTACAGTCTTTTCCTATTGAAAACAGAAGAAAATAAAACCTGTATTCCAATTCATTTAATTTTTTTGTGTGGTAGAAGTATCTGTATCGGTATCGGCGAGTACTCAGATCCAAGTATCGGTATCAGTTTGGAAAAAAGTGGTATCGTTGCATCCCTAACGATCACGTGACCGTCAAAGCTGCGGTTTTTGCGTTTTTGACTGATGTAACATCCGGGGTTTCCCCGTGTGTTATGGTGGCGGCAACAGGCAGCGCGGGGGAGGGGGTGGGGTATACTGTCCAGAGCCGAGCCCAATTCCACAGCTGACTGAGTTGCAGGTTATCTTCCATTTTAGTTTTCCACACACAGCGGGGGCGCAGTTGAGTGGGGAGAGAGAGACTCCTCCCACATCGGCGGGTTCAGGCTCAACGTCACTTTTGAGATACCCGAACCACCGCCACACTACTGACGTTGAGTAACTTTTCTTCTGAACAATGTCATCATCTCCAGAAGACAACTCCGAGTCATGACTGGGATCTACTTCGCTGTTTTCAGCTCCACGTTTGGCCATTCTGCTTATTAAACCTCTTCCTCGAAGTAGCGGAGCAGGAAAAGTGTAATTGCAAATGCTTCTTCTTTTTGTTAAATGGCAGTGGGCAACCAACGCGCATGGAGTGTTAGCGCCCCCTACTGAGGCTGCACACATCTGTTATTTCTGATCGAGACTCCCAGCTGATCACCGTAATTGAACTGAAAATGATCGTGATCACAAAGTGCGATCATATGATTGCCCAGCCCTAGCGTGTTCCCCTGTCCTCCGGGCCACACACACACACACACACACGGGACTGTCTCAGCTGTTATTTTCGTTAAGGAGTGTGCACGTACAGCATGCGCGCCTCGTGCACGAGCCTACTATTGAAGCTGCCGTTAACGCTTTTGGCCTGAGGGGGCGATCGTGAGCATAAAAATTAAAAACTCTGTAAAGTCCCTTTAAGTTGTAACATCCTTTTGTTGGCATTTTCTACATAGATTACCCATACATGTGTATTAAATTAAACCATTTAACAATGCTTTTAAACCTCTTTGAAACATGAAATAAAATAAAGTAAATCACGTCTGTGACCTTACATGACACATAAAATAAAGCAGTTAATAAATCATTACCTTTTAACATGCTTAACTTATCTGTATTCTTTAGCACCTTCTAGTGGACAAAAGAGTCCTTTTTACTCAGCAGAACACCCTACAACATAAATGTTCAAACATATACACATTTACGATTCAACATTCAAAACCCACCATGTTCCTCATCAACAAGGAGCTCAAACCATCGCAGGTGTTTAAGAAATAAACCTTATAAACCGTAATTTCCTTTAACACCTTCCGTTTACCTCCATGGAGTTTTCCCGCTGCTGTGCGGTTTTGCGACACTGATTTACGGCAGCTTGTTGCTCTGTTCTTTCAACAATAAAAGCCGTTCCTTCAAAATAAAAGCATCATCCGTGTTATACAGTAAAATAAGGAATAACATTTGTAACCCATGAAATGCAAATGAATGGACCATTAACACGGTCAGTTACAATCACATCAGGTCATTTTTTAACTGCTTGTTGCCATGAGACAACAGAGGACGTTCTGCTCCAAATCATGTCCTCGTCCTCCCATACTTGACTCTCTGCTCTACTCTCTGGGAATGTCCTAGCATTCTTGAGGATTGAAAAACAACCTGATGACGCAACAAAGTTTTAAAAAAGTCCTCTATTCATCAAATCTTTGACATAAATGCCATTTATTTATTTATTCATTACATTAACCATAATTATTAACCTATGAAGTTGTAATTATAAAATGATTAATTAAACAACTCAGCAGCCGCAGATTTCAAAATGTAACGATCGTTATTTAAAAGATGTCTTAAGAATTTAAAACCACATTTAGCCTTGTTGTTAATGAATAAAGGCAGCTTGGGATGTCGAGTGTACCAAGGAGTCCGTGCCGCCTCATGTAATGTTGTAATGAACGCAGGTAGACCGATATATTGGGCCGACATTTTCCATTTTTTATACATTGGTGTTGGACGATTTTTGTTTGACTTTAAAAAGAAAAGAAAGCAAGAAAGAAAATAATCTTTTCTATAGCGCCTCTCAAGATAAAAATCACGAGG